CATGCCCAGCTGAATTTTTGTATTTTTAGTAGAGACGGGGTTTCACCATGTTGACCAGGATGGTCTCGATCTCTTGACCTCGTGATCCACCCGCCTCGGCCTCCCAAAGTGCTGGGATTAAAGGCGTGAGCCACCGCGCCCGGCTAATTTTTGTATTTTTAATAGAGGCGGGTTTCACCATGTTGGTCAGGCTGGATAGTTTCTTTAATTGTATTATGTTATAAATTATTAACTATATTTGCATGCCCACCATAATATAACACTGATCAATACTAAATTCCTTTTCATGGCTGAATGATATTCCTTTGGCTATACCATATTTTCTTTATTCATAAGTTGATGGACATTTGAGTTTTCACTTTTTGTCTGTTATGAATATTGCTACTGGGAACATGTATGAGTTTGGGTCTTCATCTACCAGTGGAGTTAGGGTCATATGTTAATTTCATGATTAACATTTTTAGGAAGTTTCCAAAAGCTATATATACCGTTATATGCTCCCACCAGCAATTCCCCACCTCCTTCCCATATACTGTGGTGTCAGATGGTGGCCTTTCAGTGGGGTTTTTCTTTTTGAGGCAGGGTCTGACTGTGTCACCAAGGCTGGTGTGCAGTGGCATGATCTCAGGTCACCACAGCCTCTGCCTCACAGGCTCAAGGGCCCCACTCACCTCAGCCTCCTGAGTAGTTGGCACCACAGGCATGGACCACCACACCCAGCTAATTTTTGTATTTTTTTGTACAGACGTTGCCCAAGCTGGTCTTGACCTCCTGAGCTCAAGTGATCAGCCAGCCTCAGCCTCCCATGAACCTAAGTGGGGTTTGGATTTGCATATTTAGTGACTAATGTTCAGCATCATTTCATATAGATTAGCTATTGGTTTATGTTTGGAGGACTGTCTATTCAAGTGTTACCCATTGTAGCAATAGAATTTGCCCTTTTATTGTTGAGTTGTAACAGTTCCTTACATATTCTGGTTATCAAACTTGAAAAAATACTTCTGTGATGTGTGATTGACATACAAAAACTGTAGATAATGTTAAAAGTTGCTATGCTAAAGAGGTAAGTATATGCCTTTGAAATTATTATCTTATCACAATTAGTGGCGTAAATGTATCCATCACCTGAAAAAGTTTCTTTGCCTCTATCTTTTTTTTTCATTGTTTAGATTTTATTTTTGTTTTTGGATATTAGACGCTTAGCTGTACGTTTAGCAAATATTTTTTCGTATTCTGCTTATCCTTTCACTTTAGTGTTTTTGGAACAAAGTTGATTTGTTGTCGAAGTACACTTTATCTCTTATACTGCTTGTAATTCAGTTACACTTAATAGACCATTCTGTAATCAAAAATAATAAACATCAGTGTTTAAAAGTTTGCCATTTAAAAATCAAATGTGTGACATGACTTGGAATATTTAAATTCTTGAAGGAATAAAACAGCTGTGTGTTATTGGTAAGCTGTTTTACCAATCTAAAAGTCTAACGTGGCTTAGAAACATCTAGGGTTCAGAAAATTATTAATAGCTTTTGGCAGGTATCCTTTGAATTTTGCTTTTGAGATATTACTTGTATTAGTGAAAGGCCCTATTTGTCATCTTTAAGGTTTCATAGGTGGTTTGTGCAGTCCTTAATATGGCTAGTCCAAGTGTAGGATTTCATGTTCTGTTCCCTTGAGCAGCCATTTTGTGAGGGATTCTGCACATCATAAAATGGCGTGGTTTTTTGTTTTTGTTATGTTGATAGTTTTTAGTCTGAACAGCTCTTCTATTGCTTTGCAAATCCTAAAGCACCATCTGCGTGGTTTTTTAAGTAGATATTTTATAATTAAACTACGTTCTACGATTCCACCATACAAAAGTACGTCTATTGTATCCTTAAAATATTTTTTGAAACCATTTTTGAAATAAGGTTTACTGTTTTTAGGGGGAAGGTGAGTAAGGTAGTGGTGGTATGTGTATATATGTCTGCATAAGTGGGAAGTTTATATGTATGTGACTAAAAATATAAGTTGATACACTATTTTAATTCCATTTTCTGATTTTTTAAAAGCAGGTTTTCTGAATTCACAGGCTTCTAAAAGGAGAAAAGTGGGTAGAGCATAGATTCTGACTGAAGGCTAAAGATCTTGTAATAATTTTACCTTTTTTAATTAGGTTTAATAACACATTATATTAAATGTAGCTCAAAATACAACCTTGACAATAGTTATTTCATAGATTGATGCAGTCTACCAAACAAATCCCTCTTTTTTTCTGTTTCAGGGATCGCTTACACCTGAGACGGACTACAGAACAGCACGTACCAGAGGTGGAGGTCCAAGTCAAACGCAGAAGGACTGCCTCACTGAGCAGCCAAGAGTGAGTACAGACTGTATTTAAAACAAATGCAAGTGAGAATCCTGTTTCAGATTGGAACAAAATATCATACAATGAGGTGATTCAAATGAACTTAATTGAGGAAGCAGACACGTGTACTACAGAAGATGTAGTTAGAAAATCAATGAAATTCTTAACCGTATTATTAAAATAACTCACCCTCTTATAGATTTTAGTATAATTTATTTTCTTTTTTCTTATGCATGTCTAAGTCATTTTATCTTTATAAAAATTTGTAATTACCCTTCAACATAAAGCATATTTACATTTTTTCTGCATTCTTAAATTATTAAATCACTTTGTATGTTTGCAAAATGTACTGTGCACTGAAGTTATTACATATTCTTGCTCTGGTATTTAGGTGTTTGTTTTTGGTTAGTGTATTCTGTTAAGATTTAAAATACATTGCTGTTTTTCATCCTGTTTTTAGTGTGTGCATATATATATGTAGAATGTATACATAGGATGTATTAACGGACACACTTAGTCACACATTTTAATTTACATTTCTAGAAGGGACATTTTAATTAAAAATATGTAAACATTTTAAATGACCTAATACATATTTAATCCATGTTGAAACTTTGGCGTTTTGTCATTGTCATCAAAATTTTGACAGGGCTGGGCACGGTGGCTCATGCCTGTTATCCCAGCACTTTTAGAGGCTGAGGCAGGTGGATCACGAGGTTGGGAGATAGAGACCATCCTAACCAACGTGGTGAAACCCCATCTCTACTAAAATAAAAAAAATCATCTGGGTATGGTGGTGCATCCCTGTAGCAGCTACTCGGGAGGCTGAGGCAGGGGAATTGCTTGAACCTGGAGACAGAGATCACAGTGAGCTGAGATCACACCACTGAACTCCAGCCTGGCGACACAGCAAGACTCTGTCTCAAAACAAACAAAAAATACAGAAATTAGCAGACGTGGTGGTGTGTGCCTGTAATTCCAGCTACCCAGGAGGCTGAGGCAGAAGAATTGCTTGAACTCAGGAGGTGGAGGTTCCAGTGAGCCGAGATCATGTCATTGCATGATCTCTTGCTCAGCCTGGGCAGCAGAGCAAGACTTCCTCTCAAAAACAAAAAATCACTGATTTATTTTAAATTTTTAAATTAATTTTATTCTTTCAGTGTATATGTCACTAAATCAGCTCTTATTCTTTAGGGCTGGATGATGCATTGAGAGTTCAAAGGGAAATTTGAAATTGGAGCTGGGTAGTTGTCTTAATCTATTTTATGCAAAGCTTCAAATGTCTTTTCAAATTTGTGTTCTGCACTTTATGAATTAAATACTGTATAGGCTGCCTCTTGTTTTCTCAGTCTTTTGTCTTCTGTTGGGTTACAGGTTAAACCTGAGGGGGACATTGCAATAGGAAATTCTTAAGAGAATTTCCTGTCAAGATGCAGGTTTTTTTTTTGACTGAAACACTTCTTAGACCTTTATTAAATCAGAGATTTAGTTACCATTTGTAAACAAAGAGGTTAGAATGGAGAAAGCCCAAATTAAGATTTATTTAGTCACTAGAGTGTGAATAAGAGTATGAAGAGTTAAAGGTATGTGCAATGCAATTCTGACTACCTGGAGTTAGTGCCAATTTCACTGTACAGATGCCCTCCAGAGCATTCCCCTCCATGCAGACTTCAACTCCAGGCTCCCTGATTGGCAGGGCACCCACACTTCTGATTATAGATTTCTGAGGTCCTGCTATCTTCTTGGGTTTTATAAATGACTAGTAGAACTCAAGAAAGTGCTATATTTATTAGTTTTATTATAAAGGATACAAATCAGCAGATGCATAGAGCAAAACCTGGGCAGATCCCCCTACAAAGCTTCTCTGCCCTCAGGATGCATTACCTGCACATTAGTGTACATTATCACTCAGGAAGCTCACTAGAGCTCCAGATGTCCAGGATTTTTGTTGGGAACTCATTATGTTGACAAGACTGAATCTTTGGACATGTCACTGAATTGAGTCAGCAACTCTCCTGCCCTCCCAGGAGGGCTTGCTCAAAGCCCCAACCCTTTAATCTTTGTTTGAACTTTTGTGGCCTGGTTAGTCACCATCCTGAGACATCTCATTAGCATGAACTCAGGTGTGATCCTAGGGACTCACCTTGAATAGCAAACACATTCCTTTCACTTGGTAAATTCCATGAATTTATAGGTTACTTCCCAGAAACTACGGCCA